ACCGGAGTCCAGCAGAATTTCAAAAGCAGTTATCAAGTTTCGTAAAAGGTTGGTATCCTACACTTCAGCTAGCTTCATGTTTGATTCAATTAATAGGCCTTGATTCATATTGCTACTATGTCATGCCTTTGAATTGATATTGATTACGTTTTTCGAAAGTTGGTTACTTAGTAGAACGCAATTAACTTGGTCGCTCCTTTCAAAAATTGGCAGATGATTAGCGAAGACAATAACCGAGACGCTGAAGTATCAGGAGCTGTGGATACAAACATCCCTGAAAATGAACAACAGGTGACAACTGAGATAACTGAGAGTAAGGAAACCAAATCCCCTGTTCAAAAGAGCAGAGGAGGATGGACCCTTGCAACTATCTTGCTAGGTACACATCATTGATGACAATCAAATTTTCATTCCTTAGGTTATAGAGTTGCAAAGATATACTTTCCCCTTGATATATATTAATTGTCTGGCTTGTTCCGTGCAGCGAATCAAGGCCTAGCAACACTAGCCTTCTTTGGTGTTGGTGTGAACCTGGTTTTGTTTCTAATCAGAGTTCTTGATCAACAAAATGCCGCGGCGGCAAATAATGTCAGCAAGTGGACTGGAACTGTTTATTTGTTCTCTCTAGTTGGAGCATTCCTCAGTGACTCCTATTGGGGTCGTTTCTTAACCTGCGCAATCTTTCAGCTCATCCTTGTGCTGGTAATACTTTCTTTTTTGGTGTTGTCAACATATTTTTTCATGTATGTATTTGTTTTTTGAAACATTGGAGTAAAAACTTAATGTTCCTCAATCAGGGCTTGGGACTATTATCACTGTCATCTTGGCTCTACCTGATCCATCCTTCTGGTTGTGGTGATGGAGTAACTCCTTGCAAGCCAAAATCCACAGTGGGTGTTGTTCTCTTTTACCTATCAATATATCTAATAGCACTTGGATATGGTGGGCACCAACCTACAATAGCAACATTTGGAGCAGACCAATTTGATGAGACAAATCCAAAACAACAGTCTTCAAAAGCAGCTTTCTTCTGCTATTTCTACTTTGCACTCAATGTTGGGTCTCTTTTCTCCAACAGCATCTTGGTTTATTATGAGGATAAAGGGTTCTGGACTATGGGGTTTCTGGTGTCATTAGGATCTGCTATCGTTGGCCTGGTGTCGTATTTGTTAGCAGCACCAAGGTACCGGTACATAAAACCGAGTGGCAACCCTTTGCCACGTGTAGCTCAGGTATTTGTAGCTGCATTTAGAAAATGGAAGGTTGTTCCAGCCAGCCCTGAGAATCTGTATGAGGTGGAAGGATCAGAATCTGCAATCAAAGGGAGTAGAAAGATTCTCCACAGTAAAGAGATAATGTAATAATGCACTTTATTAATTTTGATATAAACAAAATAACAATCAGCTTTTTAGTATGGCAATGAACTTTTTTGTTACTTAATTTGGTCAGGTTTTTGGACAAGGCAGCAACAATAACAGAGATGGATCAAAGTGGCCCAAATAATCCATGGAGGGTGTGCACTGTAACTCAAGTTGAGGAAGCCAAATGCGTTCTGAAAATGCTCCCCATTTGGCTTTGCACCATAATTTACTCGGTGGTGTTCACACAAATGGCTTCCCTTTTTGTGGAGCAAGGTGATGTGATGGAATCACACATTGGAAATTTTCACCTCCCAGCTGCTAGCATGTCTATTTTTGACATATTCAGTGTTCTTATCTGCACTGGGATTTATCGCCATATCGTTGTGCCTGTATCTGGAAGATTAAGTGGGAATCCAAAAGGCTTATCCGAGCTTCAAAGAATGGGAATAGGGCTCATTATTGGCTTGCTATCAATGGTTGCAGCTGGTGCCACAGAGGTGGCAAGGCTCAAACATGTGCAGCCTGGTCAGAAGGTAAGCTCACTTAGCATATTTTGGCAAATTCCACAATATGTTCTTGTTGGTGCTTCAGAAATTTTTATGTATGTTGGTCAACTTGAGTTCTTCAATGGACAAGCCCCAGATGGAATCAAAAGCCTTGGAAGTTCACTCTGCATGGCCTCCATATCTCTTGGTAATTATGTTAGCAGCTTGCTGGTTACCATCGTGATGATGATTACAGCTAGAGGTGAAAACCCTGGTTGGATCCCAAATAATCTGAATGAGGGTCACCTGGACAGATTCTACTTCCTAATTGCAATTCTAACAGCTTTGGACTTTGTAGTTTATGTGTTTTGCGCTAAGAGGTACAAGGGCATTAACCTCCAAGGCCCTGAGCAGGAAATGGAGAGCATTGAAAGTCCACAAGAGGAGGTGGGGATCAACAGAGTTTAGGCCTTCAATTTTATGTTTCTTTGTAGGCAGTCTTTCCCTTTGTTTAAATTTTTTATGTAAGCATGAGTTTTAGAATAATGGTAGTGCAAGAAAAGAAGAGAGGATGACCTCTGCTTTCTCTCAAATGCCTTTCTGGGTATCTTCTGATATGATTGGAAAACAACTTGGTTTATCTTTCTGAATGGTTCTTTCTTGGTATGTTCTTCTGATAATGATTACCTGTGATATGATTTGGATTGGAAAACTTGGTTTATATTTCAGAATGGTTAAAGCCCAACTCAAACAAAATGAGACTGATCCACTACCTAAATCTTTATAGGCCCAAGAGGTCCTTTTTTCGTTGGCTTTGTAAATACAAGTGATGTTGGAAAAAGAAGTAATCAAACTTAGGACTCGTGTTGCGATGATCCTATTTTTTTTTAATCACAAATGAACACTTCATGCAGAAGCAGAAACCAACAACGACTTGAAAAATTGTTGGCAGAATTGAAAACGAACAAGTGGGTAGGTAGGTTAGGTGGGTGTCCCTATGAGCAAAAGCTTTGTTGCGTATGGTGCTGGCATGCATGGAGTCTCACTATCTAGAGTCTAGACCTAATAAGACCAAAAGCATGCAATGCATAATAGTGTAACCCACCTTGGCTTTGGGTCCTTCAATTCGTCACTTTTGCATAAATCGTGTGGATTTATCACATGAAAAACTGTTTGTTAGTCCACCTTTGAGATTTTTGAAGTAAAATTTTTCACATTTTGTATCGTCACTAAGCTTTATCGTCATGCCTACAAAAGATGTATTAATCATTATTTTAGTAGCATATGATAATTAATGATGTCATGTTGTTGCCAAAGATAAAGATATGGAGAAAAAAAAATCATGTGCACGAATTGGATGATTCTTTTATGCCATTTTACATGCCCATAAACATAATGACTTGCCCTTGCCTTATCTTTTATGGAGTGTGAAGGTAATGGCAGATGTATCTGTCCAACAAATTCAGTGATATGATAACCCCATTGTACTAACACATTGGAATTAACTTGGATAGAGTCCATTGGATATGTTGAGTTTTAAAATGATTTCAATTTCTGACTTGCCTTTTGTTTATGTTATACGAAATTAAAAAATATGAATAAAATTAACTCAAACTTCAAACATTGTTAATAAGGAGATGGAGTGATACTTTTTTTTTTCAGTTAAAGGAGTGGAGAGAGGAAATGTATATGCAATCGCTTGTATTTAAAAAATGAAAATCTTTAGGGGTGGGTTGGGTTGGTTTTGGTCCTAACTCGTAACTCAACTTGATATAGCGGTTTATGATTTTTTAGATCCAAGACTCGCTCATTATTAGGCCAACCCAACCCTCTAATGATCGGGTTGAGTGGTTGAGTTATTGAGCAGTTCAGTTAAGTTGACCTGAAATTGTGCCCACCCCTACTCTAAACCTTTTCCCTTTTCGGGTCCATTTTGAGTCCAAAGGTTTATTATAATAAAGGCTAATAAAAAAAACTTTATAAAGTTGGTTTATTTTAAAAAAAAAGAAAAAAAAAAATAGAAGGCACTTGTACGAAATATTATGCGCCTTTAGATGTGGCATCAAGATTTGGTCGCATCACATTCAATGGCCAAAAATTGGCTGTAACATTTGTAGGTCCAAAAATATGGAGACACAAACTTGTGTTTGTATATATAAAATCCTTCTCTAATTCATCTATCCCTTGGTTCCAAAACTTTAAGATTAATTTAATTTGAATCGATCGAAACTACTAGCTATAAGTCTGCAAATATTTTTTTTGTAGAATTTAAATTCTAGATGTTTCCCTTACAAAAATGAAATAGCATATGAAGCTTTATTTATCTTTTTTCTCTTTGGGGTACAATGGGGGCCAAGGGCCAAAAAGAAAGCAAAACTCACCCCTCATATTTGAAAGACAACTCAGAGATAGTGATATAATGAGCCCCATTCTAAAATCCAATACCCCCATTGTTTTCATGTTTGCTCCAAAATCCAAAAACGAAGTCCAATTCATGGAAAGAAGAAAAAAAAAAAGAGTGACGGAGAAGAGGGTGGAGAACCACCACTCATTAGTGCATGAGTGGAATGGATCAATGGGCATGGATGAGTGGGAGACAGCTTATCTGCTGATAAGATGGTTTGAGTAAGACCCATAATTCTCATGAATGTTTGATTTGATAAGTCATTCACATACACAGTGTAATATGGACCTAACCTTATCAAAATATTCTATTTAATATTTCCTTTAGGACTGAAATCAGGTTCTCCTTATATTAGTCTTCATAAGCATTTCTGCATATGCATTTTTTTTAATACCAAATATTTAAAGTATATAAGTATAGTTCATGAATACGTACGTATATAATACATGGATGACGTATGCGTATATTCGTAGAGGTATATACATGCCCACTTGCCATTTCCACTTCTGAATTACTACTGATATAAACAAGTGAAACATACAAATAAATATGAGAGAGAGAGAGAGAGAGAGAGAGAGAGAGAGAGAGAGAGAGAGAATTTGGCTTCTATATATGGAGCAACAATGAAATTTCACATTTGTTGATGATGAAAAATTACATTCCAAACTGGTGCTTTGACAGCCTAAAAGGATCAAAAGTAAGATTCAGGAGATTAAGGATATAAGAAAAGAAAAATAATCTCCTAGACAGTTAATTAATATTAACACCAAAGAGCCTAAATCCTTTTTGGTCAGCCATGGATGCCTTGTGATCTTCACTAAACTTACATTCACCTTGCTGAAACTTGTAGCTGCTACTTCCCCCCAAATTCAGTTCCAATTTGACCTGCAAATCCTCACACTCATGCTTATTGATTTCCTCCTCAAGCAAACATGATCTCTTGCTTTCACCCTCACTATGCATCACATCAATTAACCAAAATGTAGCACTTTCTCTGTCTTCCTCTCTCAATTGATCATCATTCTCGCATGTGTAAAATGTGATCACATCATTTGCCTTCAAATTGTTTTCCTTCACAAACCTATTCCAACCCCTTGTGAACACAAAGCTTTGGCTACTCTTCCAATAGCAATACCTAAACTTCCACACCCCCATGAGCTTGTCATAGAAAACCAGCTCAATGTCATCAACCCCATTTTCTTCCACATTCTCACAAATACAAGGGAAATACTCAACAGCATATTTCTTGGGAATTACAAGCCTATTGAGCTTGCCCACATCACTTGGTGTCAATTCTTTTTGGAAGAGTTGCCTACACAATATTTTCCCATCACCATGCACCCTTAATGAGTTTTGACCCTTGCCCATTTCCTCAGTTTGTGATTGTTTTTGTGACCTTATAAAGGCATCAAATTTAGATGGATAGGAACCATCCCTAATCATTTTTATTATTGCATCTGTTGTGTGATGGTTTTGAAAATCAGGCTCTTGAATGGTGAAATTGGTCCATGGAAAATTTCTATGCAAATCCTTACCATTTCGGAGCTTGATTGCTGCGCTATCGTAAGCCATGGCAGCTTCCTTCTCGGACTTGAAGGTGCCAAGCCAAATTCTTTGGTGGTTTGCATATATTTGTGCACCCCAGTGACCATTTTGTTGTGGCACAACCCCTTTGAATTTTGCAAATGAGACATCATTGTCAAGTCTCGCACGCTTATTTGGATGAAGCAGTCCAAAATCGTTGTCGTTTGAATCAGAAGTTTCGAGAGCTACATTTCTTTGGACGCTTGAAATCATGCTTGATGCAGCATCTTCTTCCATTGTGAATCTCAAGGGCAAAGACAAGCACAATATTGGCATGGAGATGTGAAGACTAATTGATGAACTGATGCTAAAAAAATGCAAGGCGATCCTCATGATGGGGTTTCAAGAAAAGCATGATGAGAAAAGGTTTTAGTTTTAGCATTGCACAGATCATAATATTGGTTTTGAGAGAGAGAGAGAGAGAGAGAGAGAGAGAGATTGATCTGCAATCAGAGAGATGTGCTTGATGTTGCATGAACATGGGTAGGTTTTTATTTGAAAGGCTGAGAGTTGAAAATATTAAACTGAATTAGGTAAGTAACAACAAATTATTAAGCACCATATAATTCTAGAAAGAAGTAACAAAATTTTCCAAGTGAAAAATCAAGTCAAATATATTAGAACAAATTTGAAATTTATCTTAATTTAGGCAAATTAATTAGGTGTCACATTCTGAAACTAAATAACCCATTTTGTTTATAGCATACAGTTGATTACAAGTTACAAGTACGTACGTAGGTGTTTCAATTCTTATTATGGGCTGGCGTACGTAATCTACATCAGAGATGTCACTAGAAGTTTCTGATGTGTCAATTTATGTTTTAATTATAGAGGAAAATGATGTGTCAGATACTGTTCATATGTACAGCTTGGCTCTTATAAAACAAATACGCAAGCAAATTAATGCAAGATTTTAATTTGTTCCACTTTGGATACATACAAGTTATTTTTTTTTATTAAAAAAAATCAGAGAATTTCCCAATTATGTTAGAGGACTTTTCTTCTGCGATTTCTTCCTTTTTTTTTTT